TCCATTTCAGCACCATTTTTCACCAGGAATAATGGCCAGTCTGAATGGAGTCATCACGCTCAAGTGCTGTGCCCACCTCTCATGATTTATATTGTACTGGAGTGTTGTGAATAAATAGTCAAGTCACAGTGTGAGCTCTGCGGCCACTTTAATCACACTCTGGTAATGCCAAACCAGCAGCTGTGTGATAACAGGCTTAGCGCCACTTATTTAGCACAGAGTAGCTTGAATCCATGTTATTTTACACATATCTACATTGCCACACTAAATGTATCAATTCAGAAATGCTCAAAGTCTCAAACAAACATGAGCTTTAATCCCATGATGGTGGGATTGGTCTTTCTTTATCCTTTAATGAGTGACTCTTATTTTATTTATTGCTGAAAACTTGCATTAGATTTACTTACATAACCTGTGGAAACAGTTAGATTATGTCTGCAAACTCAGAAAGAAACATCATCATTTATATCTTAAAGATGACAGGGCTTCGGGCATACATAGCAAAAAATTTGCATTCAAAGTTTTATATCAGGGGTTCATAAATAGTGGACAGTTAAAGATGCTGTTTAGCTGCCTTGGGGGAACCTGGAGCTCCCTAATATTTGGATATTCAGTACGAAATTTCTGTTTTTCTCTGGGAAGGCATCCAACATTGTTTCAACAGAGTAAATCCTGACAAGTGCATTAATTGGGTTTGCACACTTAAGTTTTTCCTCCATCTGGAAAGATTGCTTAACACAGCAGAATAAACAATAGTGTACATGTAAAGAAACGTATCCCCACACATCCAGTGAAGGCTTATTGTGCAAGATTTGAATCAATGATGCAGGGATTGTATTTTTGTTTTTTAACACAAAACAGCAAGTTGGATTGTGGCTCCTTTATTTTCTTTGCATTTGCAAAGAAAGAGATAAGATATTTTTTCACTGTGTTCTGTGGAGTTGTATGCTAAACAAGCATATTTTCATGTTATCAATCCTGACTAGGCTCAGTTCACTGCACAATAACATCGAATTTGGTTAATTCTTTTAGGCTTATCGAAATGTTTTACATGTTTCCCTGCAATCGTTGGCTCATTAAGGTTGTATCAGTGGAAAAGCATAAAAGCATGAGACCATTGTTGCTCTCTGATTTGTGCATGAGCAGCTTTGTACAAGCAAAAACAGCAACTCAAGCATAACAACACCGCTCCACTGCACTACTAATGGTCAAAATCTCCAAAAAAGGGTGTAAAAGAAAGTGACCCATTGAAACTGTGTGTCAGCAACAGAGCAGCTATTTTTTTTTTTATCATTCAAAGCTAATGGGACAATTTTGCACTAATGTAGTGCTCCCAGTCAGATTAAACTAAACCTGACCTTGCTTTCAATCAGTGGCTACAGAGAGAGAAATCTCTCTATGCACTCTCTCTCTCTCTGCTCTTTGAAGCAGACTCACACTCAATGTCCACTCAGTGCCTGAGCTTAGGAGAACTGGGGAGCAGCTCAAGAGGTCCAAAAGCTGAAAATTAAAGAAAAAAAAAGATTTGAAAGCATTTCAGTGCAGTGGAGTAAATCTAAGTGATGATGAAGTTGTCTGCACCAGGTTAAAATGATTAAGCTATCTCACTCTAGAAGGCAATTAAATCTCGATTAATTTCATTCATCTCCTGCAGACAGGACATCATTGGCCAAGAGGGGAAAGATTCACTGTAAGCATCTATATTGATGACATTTAGAAGTTTAATCTGAGAAAGGGAACACAAACACATGCTCAAACATGGTGTACATAACACCATAATTTCTATACACACCTTCAGCCAATGTAGCAGAGGTATATGTACATATAATTATATTACATCGTAAGCAAATATGTTATGTAAGCAAAGCAAAAACAAAAACCTGCAGTGTTAGTATACAGATGGGTGGAATAATGGAGTTCTCTTCCTTGTTGCTTCTGCCTCTCTTTACTTGATAGTCTATTTACACATGCTCACTACACTCTGCTTTTCTAATGATGTATTGTTCCATCCTCGCTCTATATTTGCTCTTCGTGTGCTGTGCTTCTACTATCATCCCCCTCATTTGCTTCACCTATCTGTTTCTCTGCACTCACACACATCAAGGAACAGTGTTATTTGGAAATTAGGTTTAGTGTGGATTTTAATTTCACACAGTGACCGGTGGTGCACTGAAAAGAAGGAAGAGCAATCTCAGCCATCATTTATCGCTCTATCTGTGGACAAGGAAGTTAATGGCATTTATTAAGTCTTGAGTTTTCTTTGTTGTGCTATTCCCAAGGCTCCTTTTCTTTAAAAAAATATTTTTAATTTCTGACGATTTTATGCACGAATGTGGGCGCATTTATACTTCATGTTCAAAAATAGCACAGAGGTCTGACAGCTTTTATCAATGATTCAGGTTAACTGAAAAAAGGATGTGACCAGTGCAGTGGAAATATTGTTCTAATTAGGAACATACAAATATAGACATTGTTTGATTAATTTAACTACAGATGTCCTTAATTACAGCTGCTTTTAAACCTTGCTGGAGGCTTGGACAGCAGTAAATTTGATTTTCAGTGACTGCAGAGTGATTTTGCACATCCATCAAAACGTATTCACGACAAACAAGCAAACAAAAATTGAACATGACACTTAAGTCGTTGAAAGTTTCATTGACAATTAAACACAAATTTAACACATTCCTTATCATAAAAAGTAAAGGGATATAATGAAACAATCAGTTGTGTTAAAACAAGATTCTGCCAACAGAGAAACTGGGAACTTACTATAGCAAAGGAACAGCTCTCCCATAAATCTTGTGTACTTTTCCCACACTGATGTTGTCCTGCAGTACCCTTTAATCATCTCCACTTCAGTGTTGATATATAAATCAGCGTGTCAGATTATAAGTACAGTACTCCATTGCTTTTTGCGCTGAAACAAATTATTGCTGCTTTTGACTGTGCTGCGACATCTAGAGTGACACGCGTGATGCGTCCCTACCAGCAGCATCAAAGCTCCTCTATAAATACACGCATAATCGCAAACACATAATGACCCATATGCAAAGCAAACATACAAGCTGCTACTATATAGGAGTGAATGGAAATGGAAAAACACTGAAACAATTAGCCCTTTTGAGACTCACAGCGGGGAATGCAAAAGAAACAGAACTCTTAAATGAGCACATATGTACAAAAACAAGGTTTTCACTCGTAGTTTTTTGCATGCTTGTTCTCCTGATACATGACACTCAACATGAAGCTACATGTGAAATACACTTATCTGTCTTGTGTAACATACAATTTAACAACAGAGAGAGTTCATCAAGACTTTTAAAAACAGGTTTTATTGTTATGTTCCAAATCAAGTTATTATATATGCATCTTTGTCCAAAAAAGGGTTAAAAGATACCAAAACTGATATGGTTGTGTTCCTGAAGAGTACTCTTCAAGCCCCTTTTTTAGCTGGATTTTGAATGCGTTTAGTTTATCTTTGTAAGAAATAAACAGTGACCCCACTTTTATATGTATTTTTTTTCTAGTTAGATTCACTGAGATAAAAACAATGCCCCAGTATTTTAGGCTGAGCTCAGCAGAAATTGTAATTAGCTGACACATTAATGCAGTATATATAGCGCTAGGTGTTACAAGTGATTACGACATGTCAGAGGGTGTGTGAAAGAGGAATTCAGTGCAATGATGCGGGAGAATGTGAGAAATGAGTGAACAAAAAAGTTCATAAAAATTCTTAATTCATATTAATGAATTAATTAATGCAATAATAAAAAGCTTCCTGCTATGCACAAATATGATGCTATGTAGCAAAATATTTTCCTTCATTTTTATCATGCAGATGACTTCTTGCAAACGGGCAGCACCACTGTAACTACTGGAAAATGTGTTGCTTTGCAGGTGCAAAGTTGTTTGGCAAGCAAGACTAGTGTACCAATGCTCTCCTATTTTATATCTAATGAAGAAGAGAGGAGTGTTTAAAACCGTCCTGCTCCTCACTCAAAGAAACAGTCTGCGGGAAACTATCAACATAATAACGTAGACTTTAAAAACATTGCTATTTCATCCAGGAAATTTAAGGTAGACCGGGGAGCTTTACGGTGAGACATCATCACATTTTTTTTTCTTATTACATAAAATCAAAACTCTACACCACAAACCATCCAGTCATTAATATTGATATTTTTCGCAGGCTTTGATGAAGGGCAGCAGCTCGGCCAAAATATTATGCTATTAAGCATATATGCATAAATGTAAGATATGTAAATAAATGCAGGAGAGCCTTGATAAACTATCCTTTGAAATCATGATATCAGTGGGTTATAACAGTTGGAGACCAACAAATCATGTTTAATGTGGAATAATTTTATCTGACTAAAACATTAAACGTCAAAACGTTAGTTTATGCACCGAGTCCTCGCTCTTAAAACGATCAAACGGTGCACCTTCACCAAGCGTGGCGCATGCATGTGGCTGAAGCATAACAATCACTGTGGGTCTCTGAAAAATGGGGGACTTGGAGGATGAAAATCATCATCTGATCATATTCAAAAAGAATCAGAGAAAAAGAGCACAAACCAGCACATCCACCCCCCCCCCCCTCAAAAAGATTTGATTTAGATATATTTTTTACTGCAATACAATAAACTTACTGTCTGCTGTTACTGAACAGAACGATGAAGCCTATCTACACCGTCGCAAACTGCTGAATGATTGCTGTCCTGCTGGTCACTTTATATTTGAGAACGAAAAAAGGCGATAAAACAGATCCCCCTAATGTGCTGTTCTGACACCAGGGTGATTTGTTATTGTTGCCTGTAAGATGCAATAAAACTGTCTAATATCGCCATAAGAGACCCAGCATTTGTTTTATTTTGCAGTATCCATTTGACAGCCAAAAACCTTTCTAGTCAAATGAGACTAGTATCTTATGCCTAAGATACTAGGAATTAATAAAAGCAAGTCTAATGAGAAAAAGTGCCTTAGACAGATGTTAAACTTACCAGCTTGGTTAATGGGAATTCCCTTTACATCCTACTGCAGGTGTCGGTGCGCTGCGCTTTCTCGAGCACTGGACCCCCGATTCACTCCAGCGCTCTCCAGGACAGCCGGCTGTCAGCCAAAAACGTGACCGGAATAATTTGCCTCCGTTTTGTCATAAATATTACAACGGGAGGGGGGGGGAAACCCTTCACGGCTGCAGATACGGGGCGCAGCCAGTGGCTACTGTGCGCTCACGAATAAGGTAAGATGAGAGTGTGTCTTGGCGTTTTTCTTAGCCTCCCCCATTCAACAAGGCGCGTTACACCTGTCCACTTTTATTCCGCGGACTTGTACAGCATCCCACGCAAGAACCGGCCAAACACATGATCATGCGCTAACCGCTCGCTGGAGCGCAGTCGCCGCTCCATCCCAGCGACCAATACGGTGATCTGCAAGCGGAGGGTGGAGGGAGGATGGAAAGGGGGGTTTTCGTTGGAAGGGGTGGAGACAGGGATGCAGGAGGAGCGGTGGGGGGCTGGTGTGTGTGTGTGTGTGTGTGTGTGTGCGTGTGTGTGTGTGTGTGTGTGTAAGATGGTAGCCTTTCACAAGGACGACCTGAAATTCCTCAAGGATGAGCGCTCTTCTGTAGTAATTCAGTGAGATTTCCCAGTCTCCTACCCTCCCTCTCGCAAAACATTAGGCACACTTCACATGTCTCCCTCAAAGGAAAATGACTGGATATATTCTTGACATGATAATATCACTTTGCCCCGCCACCATTGTGAAGGAGGCTATTTGAGGGTCTGTCTTGGTTGCACCGGGGGCTGTACAGTGAATGTCTGCACAGCTCATATCGGATTCAGAATTTTCACGTGCATGATGCTGCTGGTGCTGGTGCAGCTGGTAGATAAGCTGGTTAAAGAACAGATTCATGAAGTTTGACACCATAAATCACACAAGACTGCCATCCACTGTAAGCCACATCCTTCTATCTGGTACACTGTGAACACTGTGCCATTAGCTCGGTGCAGGGATCAAGGTCACCCACTGGTAAATGTGTGACCTTGAGCACAGAGTCGATATAAGGTCCCTTGACAGCGCAGTTCTCATGCCACTGTTTGTTTTAGGGGCTTAAATCACAATGCAAGTATCTGTAACATAATGTGCAAAGGTGGATTTAGATAAAAGGTATGTGCACTTGGCAGTCTCTAAAGGGGAGCTGGGGCAGCTGATGTCAGCTGTTCTTTGTTCATAAACTCCCACAGGGCGAAAAAAACAAACAAACAAAAAACATTAAGGCGCTTTCTCATATTCAAATGTGTTAGGAAAGCAAAAATAATTACTAAACACACTTTGAATAGTTAAATGCTTCTTTGAACCTTTTACACATGCGTCTGAAATTTCAGCGATGACTCATGTATACTAGAGGCATACAGATGTAACAGATGGTGGAATCATTTCTGAATGACAAACCTTTAATGTTTAAAAAAAAAAAACTAATTAGTCATCTGTTGGATCAACATATTCTTTAGAGAGGAGTTTAGTTTTTCTTGTTTGAAAATGTTTAGGTTAGTTTAATTTTTATTAGTTTTAGTCATTTCATTCAACAATCAAATACTAAAAATAAGAATATTGCATCAATATATGAATTTACTTTAGTTTTCCAAGTTAACAAAATTGTATCAGATAGTTAACGTTGTTTTTTTAAATAACAAGATGTGGATAACAAGATGTATACAGCAAATAAATGGACTGGTTCTTATACAACACTTTTCTGCCCTGTTTGAGCACTCAAAGTGTTTATTACAAGCACCATTCACACCAGATTTTTTTTTCTCTAGGCTTAAGTGCTTTCTGTCTAACATTCATACACATAACACACATATGGCTTAATAGACTGGTAAGGAGGGCCAGTTCTGTCCTGGACAATTCCCCTGATTACATAGAGGTGGTGGGTGAGAGGAAGATGTTAGCCAATCTCATATCCATTATGAACAACACCTCTCACCTGCTGCATTTGACTGTAGAGGCCCTGAGCAGCTCCTTCACCTGTAAACTGCAGAGTGCTATCACAGCTCCTTCATGTACATTACACATATTCAAGTTTTTGCCTTTTAAAAAGATAATTTATACCTTTTTCTTATTTATTTACATTTTTAATGTGTCTAATATATCTCTAATTCACTTTTTCTCGCTGACCATTGTGCTTCTGTAACAACTGGATTTTCCCAATGTGGAATAAATAAAGTCTATGTTATTCACACTCTAATGAACACTATGGGAGCAGGTTGGGGTTCAGTATATTCCCCAAGCATGATTTGGTATGCACAGAGGGATCAAACCACCAGCCTTCCAATTACTTCCTGAGCCACAACCACCCCACGAGTGAACCGCAACAGTTCACTTAGCTCAGGACAAAGACTGAGCTGACTGACCAAAATGGTTGAAGCTGTGTGCAATGACCTAGTGATCTCATTGCTTTTGGTCTGGGACCAACTGGTAACTGTTAGAAATTATCAAAAATCGCAAATTGATTGTCATTTACATACACAGAAGCAAACTTCTTACATTCAATATCGAGGCAGAACCTCGTAAATCTGAAACAGAATTTCAGGAATTCCTCAACAAATAGTGGCACAGTTGCTGCGGGACAGCAAGTGCAAAATGACACGGATGCCCGGTAACACAATAACCACAATACAAATACCTGGCAACCAGCTGAGTTGAGTCACCTATTGCAAAGTGACGTCTATCAGACAAATAGATATCATGCAGAGTCAGTGCAGACTGACTTAGTTTGATTGAAACATGTTGGAAATTGCATTTATCCTTAAGTTAAATGGCAATTATTTGCAAACTGTCTGAGAGGGATTTCAGTGTGTCCAAATCAGACCGGGATGGTTCAGACAGAGGCTGCTGTGTTGCAAGCTCAACCTCTGGGTATTCACTTGGTTGCAGCAACTACTTGCAATATGTCACTGAGTGTGAAAAAAATCAGTGCAATCACCAGGCAAATACAGATTGTTTCTAGTCGCAATGAGCATGCAGTCTTATTTTTACTCTAGTGTGACTGAGCTTTTAGACAGCTGACTGTGTGTGACTATTTCCAGATTTTACAAAAGACACCTCATGGTCTCAAAAGAAAAGGGTTGGGACAGTGTCTTTGTTTTTTTGTTTAATTAATTAATTTATTTGCATATTTGGTACCACCCACCACGCCAACCCTACCAAACACATTTAACTTCAGTCCCCTCATTTTTTTCAGTAGCCCACCTTTTCCTTTTCGCTGCACCCAACATTTTACAGGACACCAAGGGCACCCTGTGAGCTCACAGCTGCATCTTCTTTTTTAACAAACAAAAAAGCAGCAAATTGCCCTCGGTAGCAATCTGAATCTCTTGTGAAAACAGTCACATGCGAATGCAAAGCTAGGCAGTGATTACAAGCATCTGCCAAACACCCACATACCATATGCCTGTGTCACTTAGCCAAGGAAAAACAGACACCACACCTAAACATGCACGCACAACTCTAGAAAGCAAAATAAATATAACCATAAGTACCAAACCATAATTTGCATGCTTCTGTTTCCAAGCTGGGATGGGTACAGGCACATGCTCACACTCACATGCAGTGGGGCTCAGACAAACTTGGGCCTATACAGCTGTATGATACTATGGCACAACTGCATTTGCCTGCATTCAAGCACCAATCAACTTATAATGTACTTGTCATTTCCAGGGCAACTAAAGAGTCATTACTATTTTGATCCAGTGTGTACCCCATGATTTCCCATACATCCACCATAGCTTCTCAGAACATTGAGGAAAGGGCTATGATCATACTGCATATAGTGGAGCCTTAAGAAGCTTAAACATAAGCAGAGCATCACCTTGTTTCCAGTTGAGAAACTCAAAACATGAACTCTGGTCCAGCCTATAGAGAATTGCACACATCTCCTTCCTCTGTGGAGGAGTCCTTTCCATTCATTTTTAAATGTCAGGTTCAAGATGATAAGACTAAAAATAAACCCTTTCTCTTTGATTTTAAGGGTTGATATCCAAATATGACATTTTTCTCTGATGTGTTAGAGAAAGTTTCCTGTCAGGCCTTTACTGTAGCAGACCTGGAAACATCTCAGGTTGTCTGTCTTTGACTAATTATCCCCTGGAATAAGAAGGAAAAAAAGCCCCCCAAAACACAAAATGCCTATTTTTGTGAGTAGTTAAGCTCTTGGTTTTCTAAAGTCTAAATTTACAGGATCCAAGAATGTTACCAGTAATGTGCATCTGCTTACTGGTTTCATTGCTATAGACATCAATAAGACACAATCATTTTAAATGCACATATGCACTAGTTGGTGTGTTTACAGTACTCTCATGTTGTGGACTTTTGAGTACATCCGTGTGTCCTGTCCGACAGCAGGCAGAGCAGCGAGGTGGTCTGCAACCCCGTCTGTCCAGTGTAGTTTCAAGGACACTGGCATGAATTCTGGTAAACCTGGAAAAAAGTCAAGACCTGGGGTCTAGCCTAGCTTGAGCATTGATGACTAGTCAACAGAGAAAGTGGGTGGGCCTGGATTACAACTGCCAGACTACAACACATATGCATGACAGATCCTGAAGAGACTATAATAGGAGATGCCTTTTATATTACAACTTTTTTTCCTGTAACAAATAATAATACTGTGAGTCTTGTTTTATGGAATTATTTAGTGAGACTAGATGTACATCAACAAAGTTTTGTAACCAAAAGGTGAAAGATCAAAGGAATAAAATGTTCATAGTTCATAGATAAGAAAAGTGTACCAAATATTACCACAATCCATCCAATAGCTGATGAGACATTTTGGTAGGAAGTAAAAAAAAAAGATTAGTCTCATGACGGTGCTTGAGGAAAAGTCAAGGGATGAGATGATTCAGTGGATAATAATTACTATAAAAAACATTTCTGGACTCAGATTTATCAGCCTATAGCTATTAATTCATTGAGGGATAGAGGACTGCATTGGGACTAATAAACATTCAAGGAGTGTATGATTATGTGTACAAAAGTTTGTAGAACTCTCTTGAGTAGTAAGCTAATTCATTTTTAACCATAAACGTCAACATTATGGTGCTCCCAGGGAAATAGTGGAGATTGCAAAAGTTAGAATAATTTATTTGGGAAAATAAAAGTTGGGGGGAAAAAGTTCACATAGTCAGGTTCATAGTTTGAGATAGACTCACCAGCCACTTCCTTAGGTACACATTGCTAGTAAAGGGTTGGACCCCTTTGGCCTTCAGAACTTCTTTATTTCTTAACAACACAGATTCAATAAGGCACTGGAATAATTTCCCAGAGATTCTGGTCCATATTGAGATGACAGCATCACCCGGTTGCTGCAGATGTGTCAGCTGCACTTCCATGATGCTGATCTCCCATTCTACTACATCCCAG